TACATATAAATATGACACTAGAAGAGGCTTGGGAAATGATTAGCATCAGATGTGGCATAATTCAGCTATTTTATTTTTTAAAGACTTAATAAAATCTGGCAAAGTTTCCTCTAAAAATTCAGGGAATTATTATTCAACCGTCTGAGCAGTTTCAAAGCAAATACTTATAATATGAAGGTTGTTTTTAACATTGTTTTACATTATTTCATTGAAATAAAAAATAGATATAACTAAACGTCCTCTCAAAGAATCTCCATTTGTTCATCCACATCCTGTGCAAGTTTTATGACAAATGCATGCTTTCTAATATTCATCTGTTTTTATTTTATTCCAAATGGTTATATGGTAAAAGAAAGAGTATGGTGTTGTTTCTTTAAATATACTGGATATTAGGATTTATCTTGTTTATTGTTTTTTGACAAAAATGACTTAAAAGAGATTTTTTAAAAAATATATAGACATGGTATTGTTTTATTTTTTAATTTTTTGTGTTTGTTTTACTTTATCAAAAACCTTGGAAAATCTTACAAATATATTTTGCGTTTTACACCAAAACCCCAATTTATTTTTACTATATTGAAACAGAAGGAAATGCAACAAGATATGTATATTAACAAGCTACAATTTTATTAAATTACAAAAATATAAAGTTAAATATAGTTTTGGATGTTCAAAAGAAGAGTTGCCTATACTAATATAATATAATATAATATATATAATATAATATAATATAATATAATATAATATAATATAATATAATATAATCTTTTTAGTGCTGAATTTCACTGTTTGTGTCTTTTCTCAGGTGAAAATATGGTTTCAGAACCGCAGAGCCAAAGAGAGGAAGCTGATAAAGAAGAAATTGGGTCAGTCCGACGGCAGCAGCGGGTCTGTGCACAGTGACCCGGGGTTCGGTGAGCCCTCTGCCGGTGCCGGGCTCCCTCAGCCCCACGGAGATCCACGGCTCTCTGTACCCTCCTCAGGGAATGAACACCTTGCCGTCTATCAGGAATATCCCAGCAGGTGACTGTGACTCAGTAGAACCGTCCGAATGTGGACCGTCCGGTCCGCCATCTCTCCTAAATTGAGCACTCCAACACGCTGACATGCGGGACACTTGATGGGCAGCAGAAGGATCCGAACTCTCAACCCGTTTTGTTTGGTTTTGTTTTTTGTTTGTTTTGTTTTTTTATTACAACGACATGCTGGAGGCTCTTGAAATATTACTTTTGATAGAATAGTTCTAATGAAGTGGGAAATGTTTTTTCAACTCAAAAAAAAAAAAAGGCAAAAAAAAAAAAAAAAACAATAATAATAAAAAAAATCTTTAAATTGTTTGTGAGTTTATAAGATATAAATATGGTGCGTTGTTTGTGAGGAAGTGTATGTGCTTGGTAAAATTTAAGAAGAAAAGAGTCATTCCGGTAAAGTTTGAACCGATGCGTTTACTTGACAAATCATTTTTCACTTGTTTTTAGCACAAGGGCAGCTTTTAATGATGCGGATATATTGTCGTCTAATGGCAACTTTATAAATGTAAATAAAGTGTTTTTGTACAAGATTTATCACCTTTTATTTCCTTTTTTAAAATAATACACTCATTATAAATAACCTAAAATAAAATATGTTTGAACTCTTGTTTTCTATTGGCCGAAAAAAGTCTGCGGAACAAATCCGCTCTAATAAACTACAGCATCATAAAACGAGGCACCTTTTGCTGATCAGGGATTTTTCATTAAATATGGGGAAAACAAATGAGCATAGTTGAGGTTCTGTAGAGGTTTAAATTCAATTTCTAAAGATTATAAAGTCCAGAAATGTTTCTCTCTATGTTGAATGTGTTGGAAGTCAGGCTGGGTTTTATTCTAGGTCACTTTTCCCAATTTGACATGTTAACTGCGGCTTGTTATGTTAGAAATAAGTTGATCTACAGCCTTTGCCCTTGTGGGAATTTAATGGGTTAATTTATTACGTCTGAGTGGAGGACGTCCGTGTGTCAACTCTCTAAAAGATTGTTCCGCTGTTTTTCTGTCACGATGGACGGCGAGCACTTTCAGCTCTGGTGAATCGGAGCGCGATGAGGCCATAAAACTTTTCAGCTCTGGTTGCAAGAGGTTATGGTAGGCCGTTTTACCATATAATCATATCAAATCTAATCGCCTATTTTTTAAATATTTTTTTTAAAGTTCATGTCTGAAAGACCTCTGAAGCTAAAATATTGTTAAAATAACCCCCCCAAAACGAAAAAACGAAAACTCTAACTGAAGGAAAAGGTTAGGACACCGTTACCCTAAAATCTCTCTGGGGTCGAGATGTGCTTCAGCTTTAATCTCATCTCTAATACGTCACAGTAATGATGTATTAGATATAGCTCCTGCTACAGCAAAAGCATTCCCAAACCATGACTCTTCCACCTCTATGCTTCACAGTTGGTATGAGGCTCTTTGCCTTGGATGTTTGGTTTATGTTAATAATTTTAGACTAATCTGTGCAAAGACAAACATTCCAGACATCCTGGGTTTTGTTTCTGTTCTTTCTAGCAAACCTCAGTCTGGTTCTCATGTTTTACTTTGACAAGTTAACTCAAGCAACCTGCTTCTGATTGTAGATGTACTTACACAATCACATTTTAATAACATTTTAGGGTTTTTGGATACTTCTTTTAGCATCTTGTGGTCTGCTCTAAGGGTAAACTTGATTGGATAGCCAAATGTTGGCAGCTGTTTTGAATGTCCTTACCTTATAGACGTCTTTCTGTGAAGTGGTAAGGCTTATTTGAATTACATAGAGCTCTTTAAGTCATTCATAAGGTGCTGCAGATATCAGACAGCCTTTTGGATGTGGGATGAAGGAATGTTGTCACACCAGAGCTGAATGCATTCTAGTAGCAAGCTGAAAATCTTAATGTGCCAACTACGCATGTATTTATTTTTAATTTATGCACTAAAACAAGGCACAGTGTATGCTTTTGCTGTTTTAGTTAGATACAATCCTTCAGGTGTACAAGAAAATAGTTTGTCGCTGTAACTTTCCTTGTTTTAAATGCATGGCAGCCATATTGGATTCTGGTATTTCTGCTTGTGGTCTTCAGGAGTACAAATATGACATCAACACAACATAACAAACCAAAACAATTTATTTTAGCCATTCCTCAATGTGGGAAAGACAAGAGAGCATATTGAAAAGAGGATGATGTGTGTTGGTCTTCATAAATCAAGAGATGCTTTCAAGTAAACAGATAATTACGTCTGTATCCATTGAATTACAGCAAAAAGTATAACGTTTAAAACAACTTAAACCAGGACCAAAGTTTATATTTTCAACATTCACAGAGAGAGGGTAATAGTAATGGAGGAGAAACAAATCTAAACTCTCACCAGGAGAAATGACACTTTTTTTTCAGACAGATCTTTTACCAGAGTTCACATTTACATTTGAAGGCATTGCATCTTTAATGTAATTTTTCCAGTAGCAAGTAATTTCATTTTTAGAAATAACATACAATTAGTTTTCAGTCACAAATACATCCTCTTTTCCTGGAGCTGCACTGGTGATATTTGAAGTGCAGAATAAATTTTAGGTATCTAAAATGTAGCTTTTACAAGTAAGTATTTTCAGAAGACACAATGCACTACATACTTCAAGATTTCTTTCATAAATATGACCCCACAAATTCCAACTGCTTCTTCAAGTTTCACAGTGTTAAAAAATATCTAAGATGTTTGAACAGGCAGTTTGTATTTGGAAGATGAGAACATGGAAACACATCTAACATTTCAAATAAGGAAAATGTAAATAATTTTACTATATGGTCTTTATTTCTACATCACAACATTACTAAGAGCATTTATTGTTACATATGAAAAAAATAAAATGTAAATTCCCTCAAAGATCCTGAATGTAATCCTGATTTAATATTCAATGAAAACACTTATGGGTGGATGGCAGGACGAAGTCATCTTCTCCATACGGAGCAAATATTCTGGACTTTCATCAAGCATAGATGTAAAGAAATCCTTTGACATGCTTTTGGTTCTGTTTCTTGGTTAATGAGCTTCTGATTGTTAATAATATATAAATTATAAGATATATTGTATATTCCCTACTCATTTCTCACCCCACATATTGGTGTCTTTTATTTTTGCACCCACAACTGTCGAAAAATTTGATTGGGAGTGTGTAATGAGTGTTTTTGAATATTGGGAATTATTAGGGGGATATTCACTAAAAAGGTCGTAGCATTATCAGATGATATTATATTTAAGTTTTGTAAATTTGTTTGTGACTATCAGCTGGTCAATTTTATGAGCGATGGTTTGTCATGGTAAGCATGTAATCATAAAAAACTCAGTATTAGTGCATAGGTGTCCTTGAGTCCAGCTTGCATCATCATCATCATCATCATCAGAAAGGCTACCGCTACGCTAATATGCTGCCTTGGCATGTTGCAGTTGGTGGGAGACTGAAAGGCTAAAATAACATCACTGTTTGACAATGTGTCCCACTTTTCTTTTAAAGCTAATCTTGAACTGGTGAGTTTCTCCAGTGATTGACTAATGCATCCGAGGTGCACAAAGGAGCATTATCACAGATCCTTCCTCTCCTAGCAGCTGCAGGACTTTAACAAACTCAATAAGTCTGTCTGACTATGCTATTATTGTTTTTTTTTTTAATTTTATTATTATTTAAAATGATCTTCCTGATGTCAAATTCCCACACAATAGGACAATAAAGGATATTTCTAAAATCTTTTTCTTTGAAAAATCCAAGTCTGCCTATTACATGGCAAACCGTCTTGCCATAGCGAGTTCCAGCTCTTGTAAATCTGGACGCAGCGGGGCGATGATGAGCGTCTTACAGCCCAACATGGCGGACTTTGATACCATTTATGAGTTAGAAGACGAAGACGATGAGCACGTAGTGAGCGAGGAGCACTTACAGCGATACTGCCCGGAGCCCGTGGTCATGCGAGGGGCCGGGCACATCACCGTGTAAGCCGCGCTGTGCTTCTCTCCCCCTCTTGTTTCTCTTGTTCGTGTGAGGGGGGTCGCTTTGTTATTTCCACGGCGCCTGCCTAGCCGTGGCTAGCCTGCTGCTACTACTAGCTAACGTCAAAACACAGCAGAAACAGTTGGACATCTGTCAATGTGGAGGAGTCAGCGCGCAGTAAAGTAACGGCTATCCGTCGCCACGGCAACCGTTCCCTGGACTGGCAGCTGGTATTCCAGTTAGTTGGGTTTTTATTAAGCGTTAGCTAGACGTCTCATCGCCGAGCTGCAGCCATCTATCTAATGCTTTTGGACCGACATTATCAGCTGAGTGGCTTCTCTGTCGAGTTCTTCCGACGTTTTACCGAGTTTAAATGTAAAAGGCTGTGAGTAGACACCCCGCTGGACAACTGATGGAGACTGTTGCACTTTAAAAACTCCAATTAAGTGATAAAAAGGCGGAAAAGCATCTCAGTTCAGCATCTTGTCACCACTGCCGGCTGCCTCCACCTCATAGCCTCAGTTCCTGTTACTTTATTGAAACTGTCAGCGGGTGTTTGTCCTGTTTGGGGTGCAGAACATGTCAAAAACAAATCACAAGTCTGGTGAGATTTGGAGATATAGCTAGTCATTAGCATGCAGATATATTTAGCATGCAAATACTTGAGTAAGAATGTTAGTGTTTATGTAGAAAAGCCTTGCTGAGGTAACAGTGTTTGCCCCCTTTAATATCTGTTCTACTTAAATATGTCAGATCATACAACCAGTTTTTAATGTGACCATTAAAACTTTAAAATTATTTAAATTAAGGGTAAAGAGAGATTTAAACCTGCCTGGTCACAAACTAGCAAATCTGATTAAATGATATGAACCATATTCTTTCAAAATTTTAAATTTCATTAGCCGAACTCAGGCTTGATTACTGCCAAACCAAGAATTTACTCAAACATAACCCGTCTGATAACTTGACGTTGGCTGAAAAAAATCCCAAGAACAGATGAAGCATCAATTAATTGGCATCTGTCTGCCTGGAAAGGGCTACCAAACCATAATACACAAACAGAAATAACATTAAACCATAGTAAACCTGATTACATACCAAAAGATGGAGCAAAAATTGCATTCATGGGAAGTTCCAGGACAAAAAAAGTGCTGACAAACCAAATGCAAAAATACAGCTTACATTTGTCAAAAATATTGTCATAATCCTCAAGACTTTGGGGGAAAATGTTTTGCGGACTGATGATAGTAAAGAAGTTCTTATAAAGTGTGTGTCTGCAAGCCTGTCGCAATAAGCAATAAATCAATTAATGGCTCTATAATTTCCGTTTGCATGATTAATTTTTCTTTTTCTAACAAAATCTGGATAGTACAAGTCTTTGGTTTGGTGCACTGGTCTCAACTAGCCTGTTGTTGAAGGACAATTTTGTTATAATTAATTTGAATCATTGTTTTGTTGATCTGTTTTGAGTATTTAAAATATCTTCCTGTTCCAGTGTTAAATATTCATCAGAATTTAAAGTTTATTGATCTTTCAGAATATGGTCTTGCATTATTTTGCCATTATTATAACATTACTTGAAAATGGCTTCAAAATATTGTTTAGCGCATTAACTTCTGGGATAAGTTATCATCCTTGTTGGCAGAGCAGTATAACAGTATTGGTTCATCTTTTGCAACATGACTGAACATTTTCTGCAATTTGAGTGAATGAGTGAAAAGTACAATAACAAGCTTATTAATCTAATGTTTTTGTTGTTCCTGTTTTGTGATGTTAACATTATTAAGCTGCAGAAATGATTAAATTAACTATTATAATCATTGCTGCACCAACTTTTCAATATTTTAGCTCGCATGTCAAATGTTTTTTCTCTTCTTTTTTCCAGGTTTGGATTAAGCAACAGATTCGACACAGAATTTCCCTCTGTTCTCACAGGGAAGGTACGGCTTGTTATTATTATTATTTTTTAAAGTTTTTATACACTACGCTCTTTCATGTTGATTTCTGTTCAAACCCAACTGGGATGAATTAAGCAATTAAAGCTGCAGTGGATCTTTTGTTCTGCTGGGCCTTTAATGGCCCTGACTTCCCCAGAACGGCCCATTCAAAGTCTCCTGGGTTGGTTTCATCTGAGCAGATGCATTATAGGCAGCGCAGCAGAAAAGAGCCTGAATGTGCTGCTGTCTAGCTCTGTAAATAAGTAAGCCGTCCATTGGTGCTCGGCTGGCAGGGGGATCATCTGTTTCTTTTTTTTTTTTTTTTCCGGAGGGTCGAGCTCCAGGTGATAAAATAATGAAATGAGGATTCTGCCGCAGACAGGGGAGCTTCCTGGGTCGGACGCTGAAACACAAAAAGGCTGCGGGGGGAAGAGCAGGCCGAGGGAAATATAGGGCAATAAAAAGCACCTTCGGTATTGTGACCCAGGGTGACATGTGATGGATGAGGTCACAATTATGATGATTGAAGGGTGCAGATCAGACCCTGCTGGGCTTTATTCTGAGTTCTTTAGCTGTTTGCAAAGAGACCTTTGCATCCTGTCATAAAAGATTACGACCCCGGTTTTATGGCGTACAGACTCGGCGAGGAATGAGCATCCATTCAAGTTGTTTGGCCAGTGCTGCCACAGGCTCTCAGCTTATCTCTCCTTTGACTCCCTGTTTTGCCTTGAACAGTCTGGAGCTCAGTTAGCAAGTCTGGGTGTAGAATAAAGAGATCCCATCTCTGGACAACATCTGCAAACATCTACCCTTTTGGTTTTCTCCAGCTCTTTGATCCTTCCTCAGCACAATTAAGCACCTTTTAGGTCAACAACACTGAGAGACACTTGCTCTGTCCCTCTCCCTTTCAGCTGTTCTTTAGCTGCACATCTCCTCCAGTGCTGTAGCGGTTAAGCTTAATGAATTATTCAAATAATTGTAAACTAATTTATAGCGGTATGTTAATTTACATTATTTTAATTTATTTTGAATGCACAAGCCTCTGTACTTTTTTGACGTCATCTGTTTCAGATGTTTCTTTACGGGGTTAACATCTTGTAAAAGTAAGAAATAAATTAAATAAGTCTCAGTAATCTGAAATCAGCTCCCCTCGACTATAACGCTGTGGAGTTCAGAGCGCTGGAAGAACCCCAAAATTATTTTACTGCTTTTGACGAAACAATGTGGCAAAGCATCATTTTACATGCTGCTATTCACAGCTGAAGTAAAATAAACATGTGAGTTAAAAACATATATTTATTTATTGTTTATGAGGTGAACTATAAAAAATATCCACAACTGAAGGCAGTTTTTCTATTCTTTCCTTCCAAAAGATCTACATGAAGCATTAACTTTACTTAACATTGATTAAAACAGAATGCTTTTGTTAGTTTATTGCTCATTTGCAATAAACAAAAATGAAACAAAAACAAAAATGAATTTGTAATTCATCAAGCAAAGATGTACAAAAATAAATACATTTTGCATTTAAGATTTTAAAGAAACTTTTTTTCCAAGTGGCATAATTTAGTTTCACATTGTGCAAATTCTGCATATGAAACTATTTAACTTTTTGTTTCTCTGCGTTTTCTTATGTTTAAATAAAATCGGGCATGACAAATCTGGAGGACATGTCTTTTTTCTTCAATCGTCAGAATGACCAATAGATTCATCAATAATAATTATTTATTTTTTTACCAGGTAGCACCAGAGGAATTCAAAACCAGCATCGGCAGAGTGAACGCCTGCTTAAAGAAGAACCTGCCAGTGAATGTGAAGTGGCTTCTCTGCGGCTGTTTGTGCTGCTGCTGCACGGTGGGCTGCAGTCTGTGGCCCGTCATCTGCCTCAACAAGAGAGTAAGTCCGACTCCAACAGCCTGACGTCAGCTCTCACCTACCATCCGGCAGGAGTTTTATCCGGAGTTTTTTCTCATTCCGACAATCTCAGGTCAAACTTAAGATAATGTTAACCAATAATCTTGCATTTAAGATTCAAAAGTAATACTGAAGTAAGAGTAGCATGACTTCAACATGTTTTATTCAAGTAGAAAGAAGTAAAAAGTATTTGGTAAATAGTCTCTTCAAATACTGTGTAGCTGATCAAGTTATCAAACGTTTAACATTTATAAATTACATCATCAGACTGCCAAACTATAAAGTTAAGTGGAATATTTGGTATTTTAAGATCCAAAATACCAGTAATTCATAGAAGTTACAAAAAATAACAAAATCAAGCAAAAGAAAATTTAAAGAACATTTTTTCAAATCAGTTTCCTTCAGTGAAAAACTTCTACAAAAACTGCAGGTGTGTGTCTGCTGAATATTTTGTTAAAACATGTTTGTTTTTCATTCACTGGGCAGAAAATCTAGAAATGTTACTGAAGAAAGAATAAAATTACTCAAAAGTACAACGTAGTAAAAATAGTAATTTCTTTCCCAAAAAGTTACTGAAGTAAATGTAATGCCTACTTCCCAGCTCTGCTTAAGGCTGATTGGCTCCAGTCAGTAGAACGTCGGAAACTTCAGCATGTTGGATTATCTTGGCCCGATGTCACAGCGTGTGTGAGAACGTGGCCCGTTGAATCAGAAAGCACAGTGACAATCCCAAACCAAGAACAGCAAATGTTGGTTCAACCAAAACAACACGGAGAGAAGCTGGATCAAAATTATGTCATTCATTTGACATAAGTTTATTATAAGTTTACACTTTGGTCTAGTTTCTTTAAGAAACCTCTTATTCTTAATATTAGTTCTGTCACGTGAAGTTCTGTTACAATAAATTGTCCCAGAAGTTACTGTGATAAACAGTAATATTTTCTATTTGAGACCATTTTAAAGTAATATAATAGTAACAGCATGAAAACACTTTCTCAAAGATCAATGAACTTTAAATTCTGATGAACATTTAACACTGGAACTGGAAGACATTTTAAATATCCAAAATAACAAATCAAATCAATTAATAAGTCTATATAAACAAAACTGTCCTTCAAATTAAAAAACTAAAATAAAAAAAGACTAGTTAAGACCAAAACTTTAAACTGAATACTTTTATTATTCAGTTTTTGGAAGAAACAGAAAAACAATAAATTATACATATAGAAATGATTGAGTTTGTCCTAATTTATCATGCTATTAATTGATTTATTGCCTTTTGTGACAGGCCTAATCACTTGTGTTTTCTCTCAGGGTTTCATTTTTATATCCAGGCATAAGTGTGATGTAATAACGGCTCATGTTCATGTTTTAGCGATTCTCCCATTTAAAGGTTGTGTTACTGACAACAAAGTGGAAATTACTGGCTGGTAAATTGGGGAGTTCAGTCCATAAATCCTGAAAGTGGAAGCAGTTTCCTCCTACCTGTTGGAGTGTTTGATTGACCTGTGATTCATGTCATCTCTCGTGCATCTTTTCATTTTTGTTTCTTTTTATTCCAAAGACAAGACGGTCAATCCAGAAGCTGTTAGAGTGGGAAAATAACCGATTATACCACAAGGTGAGACACATGTCAACCTGTACATCTGCTTGTTGTGTGGAAGAGCGTGATTTGTCTGCGAGCGGAGCATCATCCTGATGGATAATGATCATCAATCTGTTCTGGAACTGCGGTCTGCCACGGAGGCCTGAGAGGGCCGCGAGGTCGGCAGTAAAAGGCCGTGTTAATTTTGTTTTGTCTCACAGCAACAAATTACAGCTAGTAGCCGTGCGGAGAAATAAAGAAAGCTCTTCGGGGTGTCTGGCCACAGCTTGACCTCCGCGAGACCAGACAGTCCTGCTCCTGAATTCCCCCAACGCTAAAGAGGAGATCTCAGACAGATTCTCCTTCCTTTCTGTGTGTGTGTGTGTGCGTGTGCGTGTGTGTGTGTGTGTGTGTGTGTGTGTGCGTGCGTGCGTGCGTGCGTGCGTGCGTGTGTGTGTGGGTGGGTGGGTGGGTGTGTGGGTGTGTGTGGGGTGTGTGTGTGTGTGTGTGTGTGCGTCTTTGTTTCTGCTGAAGAGCGACGGAGATGTTCACTCCTCTGTTCTCCCTCCAGCTTGGCCTGCACTGGAAGCTCAGCAAGAGAAAATGTGAAAGCAGCAACATGATGGAATATGTGAGTTCACCCACAAACATTAGCTGATCGTTTCAAACAATCCAGCATAGATGCAACTTTTATTTTGATGATTAATGAGTTTTTTGGTTTTTTTATACAAGATACAAACTAAGTCACCGTTTTGCCCTACAAGTAATAACAATGTTCCTTTAGTAAACACTGAGCTAAAAAATACTTCTAACATCACCTTGTGAAGAACTCAATACTTTTTGTGTGACTCATCAATGTAATTTTAATTAATTGACTAATAATTGGATAATAAAGGTGCTAAATAGATTTCTTATTACAGAATTTGAAACAAGTTTTTGAAAAGTTTTGTCAAACATTTTCACAAAGTGTGTTTAATTTATTCTTAATTACAAAATGTTTATATTTTTTGAACAGATTAGTTCAATGAAGACTTAATATTGATGATTTTAAGTGTTTAATGTATATTTAAGAAACCCCAAAGGAATGAATTATCTGTCGACTTGTCTTTTAAACATGGATAGGCTTTATTTTTATTTTTTTATTTAATTTGCAAAGACGAATGAATCTATTTTGACTTTCTAAATGTGCAAATATGTCTTAAGTTTTAGTTCAGTAAATTATTTACACATCTAAACCAGGTCTCATTCGCCTTCTACTCCACAATTATTCACTACTTTGTGTTAAGCTGTTGCAAAAAAAATCCAAAAACCCAATAAAGCACAATACAGTTTGAGAAATAATAATAATAACAAACAGTTCAGGATGTAGGAATATTTCTATATGCTTATTGCTGGGGGTTTTTTCCCAAAAGATGTTTTACAAAAAAAAAAAATCACTTTTGGTGAAAAATAACTTCAGCCATCATTATATGAAGGTGATGATATTCAAATTTATTGAACATGGCTGCATTCTTTACTCATTGCTTGAAAGCTATTTTCTTCTCTCTGCAGGTGATTCTTATAGAATTCCTTCCTAAATATCCTATATTCCGACCGGACTGAGGAGAATGTCATCAGACCGGATGGACGGCCCTTCAATCTTATCCTTAGTGCCTTGTATGTATATATATATATATGTATGTGTGTATATATGTATATATATACATATATACACACCGTATGTTGGAATAAGGGTCTGGCGTCCCGTACATCTCCCTGTACTTTGTACAAAACAATTTGCAACACTGTCACTTTGCTTTAGAGCAGATTTTGCACATTTTCTCCCCATTTGTTGATGTTGTTGCACTTTGATTTTATATGATTTCATGTGTTAAAACACGTGAAACTTTTGAAAAGTGCATTTACCCCAAAGAACCTTCAGCCTGGTGAACCAGTTGCCCCTTCCTCGCAGACGAATGTGATGCCTCCACCTTTCCGTGACGATCCTTGCCTTATGTACGGTTAGATATTAAAGTATAAATCGATGTAACTGGATCCAGTTCTTAGCAGGTAGACGAGACGGTAGCCTAGCGCCCGGCGTACGTCTCCACCTCCATGTTGTTTTCGTCTTTATATTAACTCTTTGTACCTGGGAATTAGCTAGTACAAGAACTTGACGTGTAAATACCATGGTAGGATAAGCTGTACAGTGGTATGCCATTGTTTACATAAAGTTTACTTAGTCTTTTAGATTTTCTTTGCCAGTATGTTGCTGTACCATAGGTTTGATTGATGAAAGATGTCTAGTTCATATGGACCTGTTTACCTTGTAAGCCATATCTAGTTACAGTGTATCTGATGCCAGATTATTGCACTTGAGCCCAGAGGAGAATTCAAACAAATTGTCTTTTGGTGGGTTTTTGCCAATGATCGATTCTATAGATATTTTTTAATCCTTCGATTTTGCATTATTTTTGTAGTTTTGTATCCGTCTGTGCCGTATTGGAAGCGCTTCACTTCATGTCAGTCATTATCCTGAGTGATTGTGTTATTTTTCATTTAAGTCGGAGGTGTCCAAAGTGTGGCCCGGGGGCCAATTGCAGCCCTTGGACTGATTCTGTGCGGCCGCTGACTTCAGTTCAGAAAAGATACAAATTTGATAAATGACAAAATGATCACAAACAAGAACAATCTTACAATAGAAAATATTTGCTAAAAATAACCATGCTTTTTCCATTCTCTTCAAGAACCACTCACTTTTACTCAAACGTTTCAGCCAAATCCCTGCTTCTCATTTATTTAATAAACTTAACTAAATACAGAAGCATTTTCAAAGAAAGATTGGCCTAAATTCAGATTTTATTCATTTTTTTCTTTCAGTTCATACCTAGAAAATTTACATAATTATTGTTAGTAAGGAAAATCTGCAGAACCGTTTTTAAGTTTTGGATCTAGAATCATTTACACAATTTTTCAGCAGCAAATCTGACGACTTGATCTGTTCAATTTAAATACTGCTTAGTTTATTGTTGATCGGCCCATGTGACAAAAGGTTTGGACACCCCTGATTTAAGTCAAAACATTTTCCGGGTTTCATTTTATTAGTGCCTCTGGAATAGTACCGTCTCCTTTATGTGCGACGGAGGCTCTGAAATCCTCCCGGTATTGTTACAGTTCACGTAAACGTTCGTCACCACGACCTAATTCCTCTGAAGAGAGAAAATAAACTGTTGATTTTCACCTTTTTTGTTTCTGCTCTTAATTCGTGGCGTTTTGCAACCAAAGCTGCAGCAGTTTGTCATGTTTAACAAGGCACTGTATCGTTAACTTTAACAAGATGGGCTGCAATTACTTGACACATTTGTAAAACGAAGGAACGCTGTTACCATAACCTGCTGCTGCTTCCTAATTTTACAGACCGGTGGTCAGAGAGGTGGAAACTCGCTCCACTCTGTTTTTACTGTATCTTAAATACAAAAAAAACTCCCCTTGCACTGAAGAGGTGATATTTTATGGCCCTTTTTTTCTGTTTCCCATTCAATCTTAGTCTTAATGCAGTAACTCGAGAAAAACCACGACCGAGTGTTAGGGCCATGCCAAGAAACAATAAAAACCAAATTACAAGAATAAATTATAAAAAGTCATTTTTTTGAGAATAAAGCCAGGATTACAAAAATATTGTTGTGTAAGAATAAAGTCACATTTTGAGGATGAAGTCGGGTTTATGAAAATAAAAACACAAAGTTGTAGTGTAGTGTTTGTCAAACCAAACGTCCAATAAAAGGTTCCATCAGCCAGTTTGAGGCACTGGGGTCAAGATTCTTCACGCAGGCAAAAGAAGTTTAATGTCCAAACTTGTTAACTGTCTTGGTTGCTTTTACTTTCCTTTTCAGCAAGTAATTACAACTTTCAAACTTTCCTTTGTTCCCATCTAATTCTCTTGCACTGGTAAAAACCATAAGTCCTAAACCCAAATGCCTGCTGGTCCTTTACCAGACCCCTACGTTTATGGAAAGTGGACGGACCCACCCTACTTCCTGTCTGACTTAGAAACCAAACAAAAAAAAAAAACAAAAAAAAAAAACAAAGCATAAATAAGATCAACAATTATTAACCTCCAAATAAACTGTAAATAATGCAAAAAATATAAATTTAAAAATAAACTAACAAAATTCTAGTATTTCAACTTCCAGTCTCATAATTTATTTTCTTAGTGCAGCCCTGTTAATCTGTCCATAAAAACTCATGCCCACTTCTGTACAGTAGAGGATCTGTGATGCTGTGGGCCAGCTTGTATTCCAATTAGTTCTGTTAGAAATCACAACATGACCAAAATCAAAATAAATTGCAAATGGATCATACATCAGACAGTGTACAAAAGCAAAGTTTTTCTTGTTTAAAATTTTTTTTTTGATGCTTTAAAAAAATAAATAAGAAAAAGCTATTTGAAAATCAGAATCCAAAAATGCAACTTAAACCTCTCTACATATGAAGACTCAAATATAAGAATCTTCTGAATTACCTGAATCTTTCCCAGTGCAGATTAGGTTGTGTGTGAAATTATGCAAACATTACATATTTAATACACACACTTTTTACCACTAGGGGGCAGGCTGAGCAGTTCAGACACAGCTCTCCAAAAGTATCAATACACCATGAAGTTTCATACATTTTCTCATGTTGCAACCTTTTTCACCTTTTTGCTTATCCAAATTTTGAAGAGCCAAGAGTCAATTTGAAATTCAAACCAGAAATTTCAACAAAATTGTAAATCAAAACTGGTAGAGATGTAATTGAATCAAGAATTGACCTAGAAGGGCTTCCATACATATTACACTTCCCATCTGGGGTAACAAACACACGCATACCTCCTCATTTTAAACATTTTTATTACTGTGAAACATTTCTTCAACATGTTAAATTCTACAAAATGAAACCAAAGAAAACATGATTTGATATGATTTTATTCAACAAAACTGACACAGTGGGAATTATTTACACGTTACTTGGTTTATATTTCAAAAAGCCACTTTGTTGTTCGACATCTGCCTCCGTCAGGATGCAGACAAGGCCACTTTAAATCTACAAACTGCATTTATTAACACATTTTGGTACAGAGACAGTTTAAGGCAGTTATTTGTCCTTCAATACCTCCAAGGCACCAACTTCCTTTAAGTCTGTCAAGATTAATTATGGAAATAAATACAACGCTAAAAATGAGGGCTCAAATAAAAGGAAATTAAAAAATAAATGTCGAATTAGCAACACTTTCATTAGGAAAAGTAACTCATGAAGAGAACTGCAAGCTTATTTGCTATTCCTGAATGGGATTAAATAAAAAAAAAAAGCCTAAACAATGAATACATTTGATTTCTAATCCAAATTTAGTATAATCTGTACATGTCACATTTTACTATTACACCATCAACACCTCTATGCTTATAACTTTACCTGCCTCTTTTAATAAAAATTTACATTTACACTGCAAAATACCCAACCCACCTTCTAAAACACTCTGATTTTATTCAGCTTGTAAAATAAAATAGAGCTTTAATTTTGGACTGAATCAAACTGTTCATTCTTTTGGCATCTGTCCACAATCAGGATCCTACATTAAAGTTTATACCAGCAACGGATGCTAGAATCAGTCATCAAAACTCAACCTTCTACTTAGTTTTGACTAAATTTTTATGATTTGTACATCTTAGTGTTACAGCCAGTTTCTACAGGACAGTTTTAACAGACGGGACTGGGATTATGTACAACGTTTTGCATAAAATTAACAAAAATAATCAGAGATTAAAGGAATGCAGCTGAACAGGGCTACTTGTGATGCACACATGAACACAAAAAAAGACAGAGTTTGTTTTTAATCATACTAAACTTCCAGGCCAGGACACAACAGTCAGAGTGACTTTGTTCTTCTGCAGCTTGAGCATCGGGATGAGCGAGGAGTTGTTCATCCCCACCGTCGTAGCGCCGTTCACCGCCACGATCTCATCGCCACACCTGAAGAGAAACAGCCGCCGTTAACGCAGAATCTGGAGGTACGGATGGGCAAAACCCAATTTTACCAAGTAACTTTGGTTTCTCGTGCAAAAGTCTCCAAACCAGAAGAGGGGAGAGATCCCAAAAATTAAAAATTTTCCATCAGTTTTAAGGATTTATTTACTTAAAATAATCTACATCTTGCTGAAAAGACACTTGTAAGTTAGTTTTGTACTAAACTAGACCAAAAACAACCAGGTATGATTTTTGTGCTTTTGCAGTGCATCATGAGAATCTAAACTCTCCCTAATATCAGGATAGTTTTAGTATTTTTAATGAAAACGTCAATACGTTTGAAAATACAATTAATACCTACAGCTTAGTGATACAATCTGCACTTCTTCACACGTCATAAATGGAATGTTTTTCCAGAGCATTATTTGTGTTTGTGGGGATATAATTGCTGTGACAAACAGTCATCCCTAAAATAATGTCATAAATAGTTCTTGTTATCAATAATATATAATAGTGCTGTAAAGTCTGCATCTGGAGGGACTCGGCTCAAAGTGTGGTGAGTTTTACTTACTTTAGACGGCCGTCGAAGTGAGCGGGCGTCCCAGGCACGATAGTTTTGATGAAAAATGGCTGCTGCCCGTGGCTCTCCTCGTAACCCCCTACGATGCTGAAGCCCCAGCTCTCGCTGTTGGTCTTCTGCAGGACGATGTCCCTGCACCAGTGCATGTGACTGAGGGACAAAGTCAGAGTTAGAGCGCATGCTTTCATACAAAAATATTTTAAATAAAAAAAATTGAACAAACAGGAGAGTTGTGAACAACTTCAACTCTGTAGCTCCTCCACTGTGACTTAAAACATGGATTTAAAAAATCTAATTTAAGACTTTTTCAGACCATTATGAATGAGATTTAAGACCTGTAACATTACAGAAATTTACAGGCTCAGCTAACTGGCAATAAAATTGTAAGTTATTAATGACAGATGCTTATTAGCAGCTAGTTAGCAATAACCTGAAGCGCTAACTACTGTTAGCGAATCAACATTCTGGCCCAAGTTATCGAACGCGATGAAGATTTAAAACTTTTGCCTGACAGAAAGAAATGGTAACTTTATTTGAAAGGGTCTGCATAAGGCTAACACCTGTAATGACACGTTTAATGCATCTTTTCACAAAATTAGGTAGTCGTCACCTACAAAACATTTAAAGTTTTTCTCCTGTTTTTGCCCTTTTGCTACAAATGGTCCATCTAGATTAAACCTCATCTCTCAAAAACAAACTTTACTGACATCACTAAATGTTAATTTAAGAAAATATGACACCATTTTCTTGTTTTTCCCCCCCTCATTATTTGCATCGTTTAAATAATAAACAATGAAATGTTTATGGTCAATTTATTTAATAGGACGACAGAGAAAACTGCAAAAAATACAAAGTTTACTGCAAATATCTTAGTACACTTGAAATAAGACAAAATTAAACTTGTATTATGAAAATAATTCATTATTATTGGTGAAAAAGTTCTAGTTCCACTGGCAGATGGTTTCACTTTTAACAAGACTTTTTACCAGGTTACAAGGGAAATAATCCAACAGTGGAACTAGAACTCTTCATCAATATTAAGGAAATTATTGACCTAAAACAAGCTCCTGTATCTTGCTGAAAGTTACTTCTAAGTTAATGTTCTCAAATTCCAGTCCAGTAATGTGTTTGTACTAGAAACTGGACCAAAAGAACTTGGTAATATTTTTGTGTTTTTGCAGATTTCCTGGGTTTAGTGGTTGGGATTTACCTCGGTAACCCCAGCCAGTGCGTCCACAGCGGCGTCCAGGTCTGGATCTCGTCTCGCTGGTCGTCCATGTGGTCAAGTCGTCTCTGCTGCCGGTCTCCACGTCCTCCTCGGCGCTGTCGGAGAGCGTCTGGATGACACGCAGCACCACCTGGGCCTGAGCCGTCTGGGCCTTCAGAACGGACACGGCCTCGTTGTAGGTCAGCTGCGTCAGATCGACGCCGTTGATGCTCAGCAGAACGTCGCCTGAGGAAGTTTAACATTTCAGAAATACAAAACGCAACACATTTCCTCTAAATTACAGAAAGTGATTGTTCGTCTGAATAATCCAACTCTGTAATCCGCTCCCAAATATCTCCAGGAAACTTTAAAGCGCCAGTGTGTAAGTTTAATTTAAAAAAAATTTTTAAATAATCTGTGAAATTACCAATCTCTGCGCCTCCTTCCTGACCTGCTGTTGCAGTTTGAAGAAATGCAACCAAAAACAACCAATCAGAGCCAGGATGAGGGGCTTAGCGCTGTCCACCACCACATGTACGCGCTGCTAAATGTGCAGATATTGATTAATTATTAACTGAAGGGCCATTAGCTGGAAAAACATTCAGAACAGTAATTAAGGCAAAACTATACAAAATGCATATAAATTTAAGATATAAAAACCTTTGTAAATATGATTTACCCAATTAAGTGGGATAGTTTTAATACATTTTTGGCAATAGAAAGTTTATTTTCTTAATAATGCAATAATTTGTTGATTTGCATCTTTTAATGTGTTTCTAATATCGTATGAAAATGAGATTAAATGAAAAATCTGCAAAATGTTTAATTTTTCTTATGGAATTAATCATTTTAATAATCAATTACAAAAGTAATTATTAGTTTCAGCCCAAATACAAACCATTACCTGGTGGAGTTAAAGTTCATCAGATTAAACTAAATGTTAATTTTCCCAAAGTTTGAGCCGATTGATTTGATGAATCGGCTCCTCTTCGCTCACATCCTCTCCGTTTACGGCTCTCGAGCCACACACTGTGTCTCCTCTGAATGGAGGCAGGATGAAAAGACGGAATAGCCCTTTTCCTATACAACCTATTGTCAGTTTTACACAATAGGTCTGGACTGGTCCTTGAAAGCAGTTCAAGGACCAGTCCAGAGCCAGCATCCAGTCTCTAAACTGCTGTTTTGATGGCCAAACAACTGGCCAGGAAAACTGCTAGCGAAACTCTGCTAACACTTCACTCATCAGAAGGAAAACCGGAGTGAGAAGCAGACGCCATTAAAGAATCAGAGGAAACTACAAAGACTTCTGACAGAAATCAGATGGAGCCTTTATATTTATGCATTTACTTTTGTCTCTCCAAACCCCCCATAGTTTTATTCATTTTAGATGTTTAAAATGTCTTCCAGATTTAGCTGTTGATTAGAAATTAAAAGTTACTGATCTTTTTAAGGGTATACTTGCATTACTAGATTACTTAAAAATGGTTTCCAAACAACAATATTGTTGTTTATCACAATAACTTCTGGGGAAATGTATCATGTTTGATGTAGTTAGAATCAAACCTCTGAGTTTCTGGTTGTTTTTCCTATGGTTCAGTCAGAAATGATGAGCTCAGAGTTAAAACAAAGCAACAGGTCAGAAAGAAATGTTGTGAGGTGACATTATGAGGGGATGAGTCATGATTCAGGTAATACTTTGTAAGGTGCAAACAATAATTACAAATAAAGTGAACCTTCTTTGGTTCTCAGGAACACGGCTGTTGAAATACTCAGAGAAAAAAAAAAAAAAAGATGAACGTTTGAATATTAGCCCAAAGATACCAACTGTGTCTCCTTGCACTTTATGGTCTATACAAAACACATTAACTACATATTTAGCATAAAATTATTCTTAGAAGATGAGATTCTGTATATTTTGAGCCTCTTGTGATCCAAACAAGCTGCTGATGGACACCTTACCCCCAACTCAATGTTTATTCTCACACGTGAAAACGGCTGCAAGCAGATGTGCAATTATGCAACCGTACATCTTTGAAAGCAGAAGTGGAACTTCCTGCACAACCAGCAAGAATGTAGCAAGTGGTTTCTGGATGGCAAGTCAAAAAAAAAAAAACTCATCCTTTCCAGAAGCAGTAAAACCAGTGGACCAAATGTGATGGAGCTCCTCTGGGGTTGCAAGGAGACAGCAACCCCAGAGGGGTTGTAGAATGTCACTCGACTATCGGGAGGATTTACAATCGGTTCATTTTCCAGGCACAAAAACGGCTGTGTGCACGTGTTTTTTTTACACTGTTGAGTTGTTTTTAGAAGTAGTTGAGACTCACATGAAGTACACAAAACATAAAAAGCCATTTTTGATGAATGGATCCCCTTTAACAGCAATTTTATGTCAGCTTGTTCCCATCTAAAAGCACCCACTCGATACCTCAAAGCACCCACTCGATACCTCAAAGCAAAATGTTCCTGTGCGTTTCCATATATGGAATGATAAGATTATTACAATATTATATCAGTTTTCCAGGTTTTTTTAAAGTATCATTAAGTGAAACTGCAAGAATCCCGGACCAAGATGGTGGTCTTGTACCTCTTTTGATGGTGCCATCTCTGTGCAGACAGCCAACTGGCTGAACACTGGTGATGTAAACAGGCAGCCTGCTGCGGCAGTCCCTCCCCCCGGCTATGGTGATGCCCAGAGACGTTCGAGGTTCCTTCTTCAGGCTCACCGTCTTCTCCTGACAAGTAAAACCGCCCGGTGGATCCTGTAAAACAAACCCAGAAAACACAAAAATATTCAGGATTCACAAATTCATAAACTGCTATAATTTAGCAGGATCGTTTGACGCAGCAGATCCCATTTAGAGGACCACTTGGAGAAACAAATGTGAAACATTTGAGACGGAGCTGAGAGGTAAAAGGGTACAAGTGTGAGGATCAACACTCGCCGCTCGTAGTGGAAAAGATGTGTGGAAAATGACAACTTCAAGCAGCCTTCTCGCTGCTCCACAGAGTCTGTAAACTGTCAGAAGGGAAGCTTGGGGGAGGCGGGGGTTCTTCCTTCCCACAGCAGGGAACCCATCCCCCCCACGCAAGACGAAAAAATTTGACTCCACAGGCGAAAGCTAACTGTTACCAGCTTTGATCCTCTCACCTCCAAGAGAAACAACCAAAAAAACAACAAGAAGAAGAAGACAGCGGCCCCACGGCGGCAGAGAGCAGCACCCCGACTCTTTTGATCAGGACAGAGGGAGGCCCAGAGCTTTCATCTCCAACGCAGGTGAAAACTTCTCACCCCTGACTGGAGGGGGATCGCTTTTCCCATTACCGTCCAACAGAGGAGCCAAAGTCCCCAAAACTGCACTCAAGTAAGAGCAGCAATATATTTATACTCAGGTAAAAGTCAAAGGAAGCCAAGACAATTACTGAAGAGTAAAAAAGTGTTTGGTAAAAGTCCTCAGTTTTTACTTATTTAAATTAATACTAAACAATTAATTTAAATACTAAATTAATCATTTAGTATTTAGAAATTACATACTCAAGTGGAAAATTTTATATTTTAATGACCAAAACTACAATAATTCAGATAAATAAGATATATATAACAAAATCAGACAAAAGAAAATGTTTCCAAACCAGTTTCTTTCAATAAAAAAAGTATAAAATTTAAAAACTGTGTGTCTGGTGTGTTTTTGCTAAAACATGTTTGACTTGGATTTTCTGCCCCATTCTGTGTGCAGAAAATCCAAAGTTGGGTAGTAACTAGTTACACTTAGTTGAGTAATAATATATATTTTACCACATCACTTTTATTTTGTAGCTGAAAGATAATTTGAAGGTGTTCAGATTTGCCCTCTGCTGGTTTCCTCAGTGTGTGAACCTCAGCGAACGTTTCGCTGCAAACAAAATCAGTTTCTGACCGTTTTATGAGCCGAAGCAAAGGAATCCCATCACACTTGACTGAGTTCATCTTCCTTCTTCCTGCTGTTTTTACGTCACAGTTATCCAACCAGTACTGTTTTTCTTGTTTACAATTTAAATGCTTAATGCATATAGAGAAACCAGTCCAGTAAAATGTAAGTACTTACTACCCAACCTGCAGATAAACATATTTTTTTATAAAAATGCTCTCGTCATTTGTGACACCAGAACCTGGTTGTGTTTTCAGAGTCAAACAGAAGGAGTAAAAACCAAAAAGCCTAAACGTTGTGGTGTCCAACCTTCAGGTAGGTGGTCTGCCGCCTGAAGTACTGCGGCTCCGGGGCCCTTCTCACTCCTCTGCTGTGTTGTCCCTCTCTGCTGCTTCCTGCTTCCTCTGGGCTCTCCGCCGGCCGCAGAACAGCAAAGTTCACACACTTTTCACTGTTCTAAAAAACACAGAACAAAAGAAAAACATTTGTTTTGATGCAAACCAGTAGTAATGAGCTGATAAACATATTGTTATAAATATTCCTAGTATTGATCAAACCTGGGCAGAAATCTCTGCATGGAGAAGTGGCAATATCAGTCACCAAACTACACAGTTTGTCTTTTTCCATCAATATCTCCTTTGCAGTTTTGTTGTCTGGTGTCGTTTTTTAGCTTTTACTTATAATTCTGGCCTGTAATTTTCTTGAAGCCTGTGCATCTATCATTATAACTAACGTTCATCTCCATTTTAATGTTACCAATTTCATTGTCATATTCATCTAAAATGAAAGTGTGTTCCAACTATACATATTTATATGACTCCAACATGTTTTTGTGGTAAATTTTCCTATTAATCCTGACTCAGAACTTTACATTATTCTTTTAAAATAATAATAATTATTCAACCTCTTGAGTTTATGGTAACTAAAATTCAGACTGGATGGAAGGATGCAAGGAAGAAAGAGGTAAAGGGTAAAGGGTAGGACAAAAGAAATGAGGGGAGGAAAGAAAGATGCAAAAGAAAAATGTAAATAAAGGAAGGAAGGATTCTAAAGAAAGAAAGAATTTAAAAAGGAAAAAAAAGGAAGGATGCCAAAAAAGGAGGGATGCAAACAAGGTAGAAAAGAATGAAGGACAGAAAAAAGGATAAAAATGAATGAAGGCAGGAAGAAAA